GCCCCCGGACAGCTGCGGTTGTTAGGAAACCGCGCCTGCCCTGTGGGGGTCACTTCTAGGACACGCTGGGCTGGCCTGTCCTCCCTGACCCACGAGGATCACTGCTGGGCGCGGGCTGGGGAGCCGGGTGCGGGAAGAGCCCTCGGGCCATGGAGGCTTCTCAGGGTGGGTCTGGCTGGCCTGGGCTGCAGCACTGTCAGCACCTTGGTGGGGCCAGAAGCCCCTTGGTGGGAGGGCAGCTTCTGGAACCTTCCAACACCTAGAAGGCTGGGCTCATTCCCCAGGCGCAGGGCAGGTGGCTCAGACACAGATCCTGCCTGGGAGGCTCGCTGCCCCAAGATGGCCAGAGGCAGGTGTACCTGGTCACCTGGGCTGGCCGTCCCCACGTACCCTCTCACACCATGACCCCTCCCTTTTGGGTTTCACAGCAAGATGCCTAAGTGGAGGGGGCCTGAGGTTCACTCCAAAGTCTGGGAGTGGGGCAGGGGGCTGCGGCTGGAGAAGTTGTGTGGGGGCTGCTGCAAAGGGGACTCACGAGGGGGGGAGAATCCCCCACCTCTCAGACTTCTAGAACCTGGAGTTGTGGGAGCATGAATCACCCCAAGTTATCTCTGCACCGAATCCCCATGGGGTGAGAGGCCAGCCAGACCCTGTGGGATCAATATTCCATAAACCACAGCAATAGACCGCATGGCGGGGAACCAGGGGCCAAGACCACCTGCAGCTCCAGCCAGCCCCCCAGCAGCTAGAGTTGCCCCCAACTCCCCGTGCTCAGGACCCACAGGCCCAGGGACAGGTCTCGAGGTGGGGACAGCCTGCCCTCCAGCCCATCCCGCCCCACACCAGGCCCTTCTACGGTTATCGGCCCCAGTCTTCAAAGCAGCTCATCAAGGATTCGCGGTGCCTGCTGGGGCCATCCTAGGCGACTGTCCAGGGTTCAAGGGCAGGAGGGAAGCTTTAAGTTGTTCGCCGAGTTGATTTCAACTCAGAGCGACCCCACGTGACAGAGCAGAACTGCCCCGCAGGGTTTCCCAGGCTGTGATCTTTATAGGAGCCGACCACCAGGTCTGGGTGGTTCCAAAGGCCAACGTTTCGAGCGCTTAACCGCTGCACCATAACAGACACCAGTGGTGGCTGCGGCACGGGTCAGAAGGGAACCAAGTCGAAGGCCGGAGACCGCGCAGCCGAGTGCAGTGCCCCCGACCCTGGTTGCGCCGGGCGGGGGGGCTGGCATTCCCATCAGGCCTGTTTGGAAGATGCAGAGGGGGACAGATGAGCAGCGGAGAATCTTCACAACCAGGAATTACCCAGGGGCTCAGGGAACACAGGAAAAACAATCAGGGTGATGTTTTGAAACGTAATTGCCGCCCCTTCCCCGCACAGCCAGGCGATTATACATGCAAACACAGCCCTCCACGGGGCTGGCATTTACAGTGTCACCAACAGAAATCAGCTCAGGGAGGTTTTTCCAAACAGCACGCGTTGTTTGTGTTCCCCACCGCCCGCCCCTCCTCAGCACCCAGAGACGTCGGATAGAGAACAACCGAACAAACCTGCTATTTCTGCCCTGCCGTGTGCTGGATGCGCCAGCTAAAAATACTCCCTGGACTTGTAGCTCCGTTGGGAAGGTGCTCCAGCATCTCCGTGCACCCACCCTTTTCTCGGCCCAAGAAACAGAAATAGACCCCAAACCACCCTCCTCCACGCTGCACAGGCTCAGATCACCCCCAGAGCTCACTCAGGGAGGAAGGAAGGGCCGAGCCACACTGGGTTCTGGAAAACCCGGAGTGAGGGCTGCACTGAGATGGTGCCAGAGGTCACCCTTGTCCTGGGGGTCGCTGGACGGGTCACTCCAGATAAATGTGTCGGGGCCAGCACTCGATTTCAAGGTGGAAGGAGGGCCCCTTGGGCGGGCTGTTATCAGGACAGGGGAGTGGCCCGCAGGTCACATCGAGGCCGTCCTGCCCCTCCTGGACTGGTTCCGTGGGGGGCCCGCTGCCATCACGTCAGCAGCTCAGGTTTTAACCAGCCACACAACCTCGGTCTCCATGATTGCCAGATATTTGGGCGCCGTGAGGTCTGGAGAAAAGCTCGGTAAATGTGATTTGTGTTTACTGCGGTGAGGGATTGTTTTCAGTGGAGGAAAGTTGAGTCGGGTCATAGAGGTCATGATGGAATGATCTGGAACAGGAGCTAATCTGGGCAAATCGAGGGCTGGCAAGGAGCTTCCCTCTGATCACACAGGTCAAAGCAGGCCCATGGCAGGTCATCTCAGGCACCTTGGTGGCCCGCCCTCTCCCTGCCACGGCTCAGGACTCTGGGGTTGAGAATAAAGCCCTGCTGTGCCTTCAAGGCCCTGCTGCTCCCTGGCCACGGCAGCTCATGATTCAAAAGATGAACTGAGTGGGTGACTGAGAGGGTCACATCAGCCTCGACCGCCTCTGGGTCAACTCAGAATCGAGAAAGCTCCAGACACTTTCTCAGAGTCACACACACCAAGGCCCTTACCCACGGCCGCTTCAGGGAGTCCCAAATGGTGAAGCCTGATCCTGTCCCCAAGTGTACTGAATGTGTCCAGCCTGGGAGGGTCCCTGGGGCCTGGTCCTCAGGGACCGCCGAGGTCATGAGAGATGACTTACCCAAGTGACACCATCAGAGACACAGGGACAGTGCCACTACCCTCGGACCAACCACCTAGTAGGTCAGGAACCCTGGACGGGGCCCGCCCAGGCTTTCCCCCAGGTAACACATCTTCAAGGTGAGCGGCTGCCGGCAGGTGATCGTGCCGCCCTGTTACAGTGGCAGAAGGCCTGCTGAGGCTGAGCAGGGAAGGGTAGGGCAGGGAGGGAGAAGGCGATATCCTCTTAGAAAACTCATAAAATTTGTTAAAACGGCAGAAAAAGAATATGAACCCTAAGGTCACGGCCTTGAACACCCCGTGGACCAGTTCTGCTCTGCACTCAAGGGGCCGCCGTGAGTCGGAACCGACTCCTCAGCACGTCCCATGAAAAGTTCTTAATTACGCAGGAAAATACAACTTAAAATGAAATTTAAAGAACAACGCGGAATCCGACCACCAGATTTTAAGACTTACTACAAAGCTACAGAAGGAGCTCTGGTGGTATAGTGGTTAAGCACTTGGCTACTCACTGAAAGGTTGGCGGTTCGAACCCACCAGTCACTCCATGGGAAAAAGATGTGGCAGTCTACTTCTGTGAAGATTACAGCTTTGAAATCTCTAGGGGGCAGCTCTACTCTGTCATACAGGGTCACTATGAGTCAGAATCGACTCGACGGCAATGGCTATAAAGGTACAGTAATCAAGATGGCATGGTATTGGTAAATGGACAGATACATAGATCCATGGAACAGAACAGAGGATCTAGAAAAAGACCCTCAAAAATATGGCCAACTGATTTTTGACAAAGGTGCATAATGGAGTCAATGGAGAAAGGGTGATCTTAACAAGTGATGCTTGAACAACTAACTGGTCATCTAAATGCACACAAAACAACCCCAACAAATGTCAACATAAAACTACAAAACTTGTAGAAGAAAATCTTTGTGACCCTGGGTTAAAGCTAAAAGCTTGGCCGTGACACAAATTGTAAGATCCATAAAAGAAATAACTGACAAAGTGGACTTCATCAAAATTTAAAATTTCTGTTGTGTGAAAGACCCTGTTTAGAGGATGAAAAGAAAAGCTACCGATGGGGGAGAAATATCTGCAAACCACATATCTGACAAAAGACTTGTATCTAAAATATACAAAGAACTCTCAAAACTCAATGGTAAGAAAACAAACCAAATTAATATATGGGGAAAAGATTTGAACAAACATTTCGCCTCAGAGGATATACAGGTGGCAAATTAGCACATGAAAAGATACTCAGCATCCTTTGCCATTAGAAAAATACAA